GAGAGAGAGAGAGAGAGAGAGTGTCACTAGGGATTGAACCCAGGGGGTGCTCTACAGGCAGTGCCATCAGGCCGTGCTGCTTTGCTGTTTTTTTTTTTTTATCAGAGTGTTTTGTCTTTTTAAAAAATAGAAATAGATGGGGAGGGGGACAACTTTTACTTACTTATTTTTGAAACAGGTTCTCATTATATTGCTCAGACTGATCTCAAAATCCTGGGTTCAAGTGATTCTCCTGCCTCAGCCTCCCCAGTACCTGGGACTAAAGGTGTGGTTCACCACCCCTGGCTTCTGACTTTTAATACAGTAAAATTGCACCAGCAGTATTTATTTTCTTGATTATGGTTCCCATTGACAGATGTTGATTAAATATGGAACACTTTACTAATTCTAGAGATGGCATCTTCTCTACCTAAGAGATGGGTTTTAGAAGTGACATGAAAAACCAATTTCATCTTAGGCATTTAATGTAATTCATTTATTTTGGTGCTGGGGTTTGAACCCAGGGCCTCATACGTACTTAGCATGCGCTATACCACTGAGCTACATTCCCAGCGCATCTTAGGGAATTTTAGGTGGGAGTGAAAAGGAAGCGAAGTGGCACCCTCTTTCTCCACAGAATAGCCCTCTTCACCATGCCTGATTTTAGGACTGTCAGCAAAAGAGTCTCTGCGGAAGAGTCCAATGTAGATAAACTTCCTATTTTCATGTCACCCTATTTACTTGGCCACTGGCCGGGAAGATACCAGCACTCCAGGTGCTGAACATCCCCTTATTACTTTTTCACAAACATATCCAGTATAGTACTTTGAAGAAATGTGCAAACAAGGCCTCTGGCCTTGAGCTGGGGTTTCACAGAGATGTCTACATTTTTTTAGATAAGTTACAATTGGGCTCCATGGTCACAGCTGGCAGGAGGAGGAAAGAAAGGGGAGAAGAAGCTCCCCCCTTCTCAGGTGTTGTCCTTGGAGAGTTCACTTGCCCAGAACAGTGAAAGAAAAAGCTGCTTTTATGTGAACTTCTGCAGACTGTGAACTTCTGAGCCCCTCCCCTTACATGCTGGGTATAAAACTCTGAAACTCCCTGAACTCGGGGGCTCAGGGGATTAATTGATTACAGCAAAGACTGTGCCCTCTGAACCTGGCTGCAGCCAAATAAAACTGTTTCCTGCTATCTTCGGTGCCTTGCCTCTGTCCCTACAACAGAAGCATGCTCCTGAAAGTAAGTTACCTTCACAGATAACTCTTGTTATCTTGTCTCTTAATATAATTTAGATGCCTATCCAAGACAAAGAAGCTTCAAAGAAAGAAGTGATTCTTTTGGCCAAGATGAAACATCCCAACATTGTAACCTTCTTTAGTTCATTTCAAGGTGAGGTTTTTCTAATATTCTTAAGTATGCACATGTTGACTTATAAAAGATGTTCCTGAGGCTTGTGTATACATTAATTTTTATAAATGGACTCATTTTCCCATTTACTTAAATTGCAGTTTGAGATGTTATCTTCTAGTGGGTTTCTGTAGACAGCTTTCTTCTGTTTTATTAAGTCTTCCCCTCTCATCTTAATCTCACTCCCCAAAGTAGTCCATGATTGGCATATTAGGTTTGCAGCAGTAACAACTCCCGAGTTTCCATAGCCCATGCTATAAACACCTGTTTATCACTCACATAATGTGCTGGCTGTGGGTAGGCTGTGGTCTGAACTTTGGGTTCCGGGCTGAAGGGACAACCTAGACAGAGCATACTCTTTTCTTAGCAAGAGGAAAGAGGGATACACGGAGCACCACACTATCATGCCCACTAGGATGTGTGTGTAAGGGGGTATACTCTGCTTTCAGGAGGCCCCGAGTGTCCCATGGCAACAGGGCTGTGTAATCCTTTCATAGAGAGTCAGCAAACTGCCAGAAGACAGCCAAGTGAACTGCCCATTAGAGGCGAAGAACTTTGAGGAAGGAATTCCCTCCCCTGCACAGCTTGAATTTATCTATTCTGCCTCCATCCATCACTCTTACAAAGGTTAAAAAGAAAAATTAGGGAGTCCTGGTCAAAGACCATTTATTCAGTTAGTATCCATTAACTGAATGCTTACTTAAGCTTAATTCCATATATCAGGAATACAGCAGTATACAAAACACAAAACCCCTGTCCTCATGAAGTTTACATTAAAATGGGAAGAGAGAGACAGTACACCAATATAGGGTGTGTCAGGTGTTTATAGGCTGTGGCAGGGCCATATATACCCACAGTTTATCAAGGTTGGGATGGTCCTCAGCCCAGCCCCCAGTACTGGGCTATTTTAATTTGTGTGTAAGTAGTTGAAGGAACCAAAGGGTTAACCTAGATATTATCAAGCATAATCCAGTGGTTAAAAAATTAATAAATAAATACACCCACTCTTTCTTGAGTTTTTAATTCCGTGCAGGGTACTGTGCTCCTTCCTGATTAAACCCCCTGGATTCAAAGTACTTCTGTGCATCTGGTCCTTTAACTATGGGTGTATAAAGGATCTCTGGGATTTTTCTGAAGACTTCCTGGGAACAAAGCAGTACATCGGGGCAGGCAGTGAATTTTTTTTTATAGTCCTGAGGGTTGCACTAGGGCTTCAAACGTGATAGGCAAATGTTCTTCCACTGAGCTACACCCTAGTCCTGAACAACTATGAAGGACAGCCAATGAATAAAGTCTCCTGCATTCCTGTGCATTGATTCCTAACAACTCTGTAAGACCATCTTTCTTTTCCTAATTTTTTTTGTTATTATTGTGACTCTCTTTATGTAGGTCACTCCTGCGCATCCCTAGGACTTCCTTGAACTCATAAGTCAAACTATAACCCTTTGCTGATCTTCCACAGCACTTTTTTTTTTTACTTATGTATGCATATCTACATATACAGAATTACAGATTTATTTAGCATTTGTTTTCCTTCAGATAGTATTGGGGAGCTGGGGCTGAAGCTCAGTGGTAGAGCACTTGCTTAGCCTGTATGGAGCCCTGGGTTTGATCCCTAGCACTGTACACACACATAGTGCAGACAGAAAACTTAACGAATCTGGGGGGCTTCTGTCTTTTTTGCTCACCCCTTTGTTCCTCAGCATGTGGCATGTAGTAGTTGCTCAATATGTATTTGCTGAATAAGCAAATGAACTGGACCTTTTCAATAGACCACAGTATATCTTTACCCCATGCAAAATGTATTTTTAAGGAAAGTTTACAATACTGTTACAAAACCAAGGTCATTCTTACACTATAAATAATCTCTACTGAGTTTGTTTCTAGTGTTAATTTAAATTTCCTTAGGACTTTTTTTTTTCCGTTTTGTTTTGTTAAGTAGAGCATCTCTGTGCTGGGGAAAACGGGAGCTATTAGAATGCCTATGAGTTTGCTTGGCAGGTTGTTGATACTAGACACATCAAACTTTTTCAAAAGCTTCAGAGGTCCTTGTTGCCCCTGACTGAGAGAGTGTGTGAAAGCAGGCTTTGTTTACCCTAAGACAGCTTATCTCTGAACATTAGATCCGTGGCTCTAATGTTTGTCTATGAAAAATATGAGGTTTTTATGGGTTTGAATTAACTTAAGAAGAATGTGTACTGATGTTTTCCTAAGATTAATTTACCTGCATTTAAATTCCACCAATAAATATTCATTAACTTTCCTTTTAAATTTTTTATTTTTTATTTGTTCTTTTTAGGTACATGACAGTAGAGTGTATTTTTACGTATCGTACATACATGGAGTATAACTTCCCATTTTTTGTGGTTGCACATGATGTGGAGTGACACTGGAGGTGTATTCATATATGAACATAGGAAAATTATGTCTGATTCGTTCCACTCTCTCTTCCATTCCCAATCTCCCTCTCTTCCCTTCATTCCCCTTTGTCTAATCCAGTGAACTTCTATCCCACCCCACTACTGCCCACTTATTATGTGTTAGCATCTACATATCCGAGAGAACATTCAGCCTTGTTTTTTTGGGATTGGATTATTGCACTTAGCATGATAGTCTCCACCTCCATCTATTTATTGGCAAATGCCATAATTTCATTCTTCTTTATAGCTGAGTAATAGTCCATTGTGTATATATGCCATTCATCTATTGAAGGGCATCTAGGTTCGTTCCATAGCTTGGCTATTGTGACTTTAGCTGCTATAAATATTGATGTGGCTGTGTCACTATAGTATGCTGATTTTAAGTCCTTTGGGTATATACTGAGGAATGGGATAACTCATTAACTATCTGTAGGCAAGTTATAGGTCTTGGAAATCAATCAGTGAAGAAAACACACAAAAATTCCTGCACTGTTGTATATTTTTACTATTGTCGCATAACCAGGAACCATACATTTCATGGCTTAAAACAGTACCCGTTTATTAACTGTCTCTATGTCCTTCTCTCTTTGGGTTCCCTGATGTATCTCTTAATTTTTGTGGGTCAGAAGTCTCTTTCATGTGCTAATTACTGTATTAGATACAAGGAATACAAAAGAATAATATGTGGGCTTTGTCTTCAGAGAGCCCACGAACTAGTTAGAGAAACTAACAAGTTAGTAAAAGCCTTTTTTTTTTTTCTCCTTCCTAACAAGATCCCGGCTGGTGGACTGGCTAATGAAAAAATTAAATTAGGAAATAATATGTCTTAGACTCTTCTGTCCACTATAACAAAATACTAGGTAGTTTTCAAACAGACTTGTATTGCTGACAGTTCTCTAGGCCAAGATCAAGTCTAAGATCAAGGTATCGGCAGTATCGGGGTCTGACGACAGTTCACTTTCTGGTTCATAGATGGTAACTTCTTTCTGTGTCCTCAACAAGGTGGAAGGGGAGAGTTCTCCCTTGGGCCTCTTTTATAAGGGCACTCGTCACATTCCTGTGGGTGCCATCCTCATGGCCTGACTACCTCCTGTAAGCCCTACCTCTTAATACTATTACCTTGGGGGTTAGGATTTCAACATAGATTTTGTGGGATACAAACATGTAGACCAAGACATATATTTTAAAATAATTTACTAACCTTTTGATGTAAGGCAAAGACCTGTTTTTTTCTTATTCCTTATATAACCTATATCCCTCATCTGGAATCTTGAGTTTCCTTTCTTTAACATGCAATAAGAAAGAATTTGTATGTAATCTGGGTCCACAATCCTTTTAGAGCTTTTCCCATTTTATTTTACCTGTCCCATCCAACATTGAGGTCAACATCTTAATTTTTTTTTAGCAGCTCATGAATTCCTCCAAAATCATTCAAAGATGCTTTTATAGAAATAATCACATCTTTTTTTATATTGTATCTGTCTTGGTGGGAATCAGTTTGATTGGCGAGAGCACAGGGACTTGGATGTCCTTGACAGCCCAGGAGCCACTGGTGGTGACCTTGGGTGGCCAACAGCAATGGTGAGCATTCAGCGGTCTAGCGAGTAGGTTAGGCAGAGGTCAGTCAGAAGAGTTTCTGTTGTGTCAACAATATGATTGGACAATTTTATATAAACACAAGTTTGTATCCAAATTCAAGAAGGGGCTATTAATTCTTCCTGGAATGTTGGGAAAGACAGCTGCTATTTTTACAGCAGATTTCTAATCTCTTATGGGATTATAGTAAATAATAATAGTTATCATATATTGACCTCTTATTGAGTGTGTTGTTCTAAGCATCTGGTATTAACTCATTTAAATCCTTCCAACAACCTTAAGAGGAAGTTTCTATTCTATAATTTCCATTTCACAGATGAGTTAATAAGGCACAGAGAAATCAATTTACCCAGAGTCACAGAGCTAAGAAATATAAGTGGTGAAGTGAGATTAGAACGCAGTCTAGCTGGGCATGGTGGTGCACATCTGTAATCCCAGCAACTGGAGAGGCTGGGACAGGAGGATCACAAGTTCAAGACCAGCCTCACTAATTTCGCAAAACCCTAACTCAAAATAAAATAAAAAGGTCTGGGGATGTAGCTCAGTGGTGGAATGTTTGTGCATTCAATCCCCAGAACTAAACAAATGAACAAACAAAAATAATTCAGACCATCTTGATTTCACAGCCAAAAGTTTAGTTTAGTTTAGTTTTGTTTGGCTTATTAATTGTACTTCTTTTTAAATTTGTTCTAATTGGTTATACATGACAGCAGAATGCACTTCAATTTATTGTACACAAATGGAGCACAACTTTTCACTTCTCTGGTCATACACCATGTAGAGTTGCACCATTTGTGCAATCACACATGTACCTAGAGTTAGGATGACCTTCTCATTCTACCATCTTTCCTACCCCCATATCCCCTCCCTTTCTCTCCCTCCCCTCTGTCCAGTCCAAAGTTCCTTCATTCTTTCTCCGAAACCCCATTGTTGATCAGCATCCACATATCAGAGAAAACATTTAGCTTTTGGTTTTTTAGGATTGGCTTATTTCACTCAGCATGATAGTCTCCATTTCCATCCATTTACCAACAAATGGTTCTTAAAAAAGAATAATTTTATTCTTTTTTAATGCTGAGTAATATTCCATTGTGTATATGTACCACAGTTTCTTTATCCATTCATCTATTGAAGGGTATCTAGATTGGTTCCACAGTTTAGCTATTGTGGTTTGTGTTACTATAAACATTGATTTGGCTCTGTAGTATGCTGATTTTAAGTGAGATGAAATCTTAAGAGTAGTTTTGATTTGCATTTCTCTAATTGCTAGATATGATGAACATTTTTTCATATATTTGTTGATCATTTGAATACCTTCTGCTGAGAAGAGTCTCACAGCCAGAGTTTTAAATTGTATTCTGCCTTTTTCTGTTATATTTCTCTACCTTCTAGAATTTGAAAGGCAAATTACTGTTGAATATCTAACATTTTCTAGCACCAAATGATGACCTTTTTTTACAGAAAACAGCAGATTATTTATCGTAATGGAATATTGTGATGGAGGGGATCTTGCAAAAAGGATCCTCAGGCAGCGGGGAGTGCTATTTAGTGAAGATCAGGTAAAGAGCATTTCTAATTTGCCTTTTAATTTATATGTGTGTGTGAGGGTATTAAACATATAATGTCAGAGTAGCGTATCTGGGCTGGGGTTGTGGTTCAATGATAGTGCGCTTGCCTAAGATGCATGAGACATTGGGTTCGATTCCAGGCAGCACATAAAAATAAAGAAAATAAATAGCATACCATGTTTATATGAAGCATGGCTTTTGCTAGAGAAATTCAAAATAGTGGATGCATATTCTTAGTAGATTTAGTCCCAGAACATGTTTGTAATTGAACTGAAATTGAATCTCTTTTTGAGAATTAAAGAGAAGACAATCTCTTTGGATGATCTATGTAGGATGCCTCTAAGATAAGACTTTATGGTTTAAAAAAAAGTATGAACGTTGATGTTGATATTCGTTAGCCATTTTAAATGTTCATATTATTAGCTTTACTCTCTTTTCTTTTACCAAGTAGTTCTCTTAAAGTAGCTTCCCACTTTTCTAAGGGAGATAGGGGATCTTCTTAACAATGCCTGTTCAGTTTCATTAGTTTTTAATTTATATATTTTTTTCTTTTGTGGTGCTAGGAATCAAACTTGTGCATACTAGACAAGTGTTCTACCACTGAGCTAAGCCTCCAACCCTAGTTTTATTGGTTAGGGAAAAAAGTGAAGAATAATGGCCTCAGTTCCCCTTTTCTCTTTGTACAAATACATTTTTCTTCTATATGTCAAGCCTCCTTTGGGACCCTCCTGGGAGTTGTATTCATAAAGGACACAAGTATGCGTGTGTGGAGGGGAATCTAAATTAGGGCTTGTGTGGCTGATGGGCAAGGCCATTGTCTCAAGCAGTATACTGGAATGGCCCATCATTTTTCTTTTGGCCATTTGTTTCTTTATTCTATTTTAGCATTTAAGAGCATCATGCCCGGGACTGGGATGGTGGCTCAGTGATAGAGCGCTTGCCTGATATGTATGAGGCACTGGGTTCGATTCTCAGCACCATGTATAGGTAAATGGATAAAATAAAGGTCTACCAACAACTAAAAAATATTAAAAAAAAAGAGCATCATGCCCATGTAATTTTTTCCTAAAATTGAAAATTTTGAACATATGAATATTTTTTTATATGAATATTTTTAATGTTGAATATTTTAAGTCATTATCTTCAATCTCTGTAAATTTAATCAAGCATTCTTCCTACTCTCATTTACATTATATAGTAAATTCTGTATTTATGGAAGTCCTCCTTCTTATCTAGGTATTATTTGGACACATTTTATAAAAATGCTTTTCAGGACAAAATTTTGAATTACATTTCCTTTTGTTGGGAAAGAACTAAAATGACCACGGAATCGTAACATCTGGAATTTAGCCATTTTTCTTTTATTATTTTCCTCTTTCTAAATTTGGCAGAGAACCAGAGAAATTTTAGAATAATTTAAATGAATCTCTATAGGAACAGAACACATTTTAATAAAGAGGCTCATGGCCAACTAAGATAAAATTATGACTAAAATATAGTTGAGTTTTTTGGTTGTTGTTGTTTTTGTTTTATGTATTTATTTATTTATTTATTTCAGTATTGGGGATCGAACTCAGGGCTTCCCTCCCCTGCTCATTTGTCTTCTTCTGTTGTGGAATTCCTATGATACCAATGATGTTTGGATTCCCTTTCTGGGCCTCTATGTTTCTAGCTGTAAGAGAAAAACAATATGATAAGATAATATTTATTAGCTCCTCTCCTATAAACACACACTCAAAAATATTATTTCTCTCTCTTTACGTGTTATAATGAGGGCATTTCAATGGCTCTCAGGCTAGCCAATAGTTGCGTATTATGTTTGCCTCCACAGATCCTGGGTTGGTTTGTACAGATTTCTCTTGGACTAAAACATATTCACGACAGGAAGATATTACACAGGGACATAAAATCACAGGTAACCGCTCAGAGAGAAGGCTCAGATAGTATGAGTCTTGTCTTTTCTTGAAATATCTCAAACAGTGTAATATTTTCCCATTTTTAGAACATTTTTCTTAGCAAGAATGGAATGGTTGCAAAACTTGGGGACTTTGGTATAGCAAGAGTCCTGAATAAGTAAGTACTTTTAAAAATCATTTTTCTTTCTACCCAAGTGTCATGAATTAGGAAACTACTAAGAACATGGTTGTCTAAATAATTTTAGGTAACTTTCTATAAATGCATTAAATCCATTCAGATATCAGTAATTAATATTCCCAAGATTAACTGTGGCATCATTGAATGATGGTGGTGGTGTTGTGTTGTATGGTCCAAGTTTATCAAATGTGAGACTTGACTGTCATAGGCATCAAACTAATAAGAACTGGGTGAAACAGGAAGGTTTACACTTGCGAGGGAAATGTACTGGTGAATTCTTTTGGAAGAGCACTTGGTGGTAATATATATCAAGAGATTTAAAGATGTCAATTTTTTTGAAATTTGAACTAATTTAAATAATAATTTAATAATAATTGGGAAATTATAAAATTAAATAACACGTGACATAACCATGTACCTAATTTTTTTATTTTTTTCTGTACTAGGGATGAAACCTAGGGCCTTGTGCATGCTAGGCAAGTGCTCTACCACTGAGCCACATCCCCAGCCCCAGGATATGGTTTAAAAAGATATACACACACACAAACACACACACACACACACACACACACACACACAATGTAAACTTGGGGAGGGGTGAATTATAAGTTTAAAAGTCTACTAATTTTATTACTCTATTACCAATGTACAGTGTTTTGCTTTCTTCTAATGTGTATAAGTATCAAATTTTGTGATCCATTTTTATATCTTTTTTTACATTTTCATATCTTAAGCCTTTCTTACTCCAATAATCAACCATACTACTTTTATTTAATATAATTTACTAGTTCCATGGAACTTGCCCGGACTTGTGTTGGAACACCTTACTACCTGTCCCCAGAGATCTGTCAGAGTAAACCGTACAATAATAAAACGTGAGTTGCTGGCTGTTAGTTTGAAAGTGTCAGTAAAATCTGATGAATGATAATGAATTAAGATTCCAGAAACTAAAGCTCTAATCTCCTCTCTCTTCTGGTACTTTTGTAATTTCATTTTCTCCAGGTGGGAAATGGAATTCCCAGTGACTTTCTGACTAGTGTTCCCTGGATCTTTCAAACTTATTTAGAATAAATTCATTCTTCTTCATTTAAAAATACAAGTGATATGGAGAATAATGTTGGAAATTGTAGTCACTGGGGTGTCCATCTTTGTATTTTATTTACTTTTTTTTTTTTTTGGTGTTATGATGATGGGATTGCACTTAGGGCCTTGAGTATGCAAAGCTCACGCTGTACCCTGAGTAATTACCTAGTTCTATTTTATTTATTTTGTACTCATCCTATTTTGTTAAATGAAGTGTTATCTGATTTTAGAATAAAAAAGAAACCTAACTAATATCTTTAAGCCAAACTGTAATTTTGTCCTTTGCCAATGCATACAGCAATAAAAGATGAAGGTATAGTTTTTACCTCCAGGTAAGAGAAAGAAAAAATTTCATTTTTCAAAGCTGCTGCCACTGGACCAGCTGGACTAGAAGCAAGACCAAGTTCCCATTGAGGGTTAATTGTCTCATTTGTTTAAGAAAATGCCAGTGGGTATTTATTGGGCTTTGAAAGAAACAAATGGAAGGCAAAGCCTAGAAGATAGAACTGTATACAAAGAATAATAGACATTTCTCTGCATAATAAAATAGTAGACATTTTTTGTGCTTGTTTGTGTTTGAGGCTGAGAATCTAATCCAAGGTCCTGCCCTTGTCCATTTTACCACTGAGTTATACCTCCTACTAGGTGTTGGTTGTCAGTTTGCTTTGAAGTCTGGCCCCAGGGAGTTTGGCTGCACGTTGTACAGTGCTGTGGGTAGGGTCATGCCTGGTGGAAGGTAGGGAGTGGGGAGCAGAGCTTCGCACTGCCTGGTAAGGATTGTCCCCGACGTGGTTTTGTTTCCTCCTACTGCTTCTTAAGAGTTTGAGTCAACATTGAAATATTGAGAGACTTTAAAACATGCAGATTTGGTTTTTCTGAAAATTGGAAGATTTTAATTATCTGGGTGGCCACTGGCTCCTTTAGATCTGTGAACCAGCCCCTGGATCACCATAGCCCTCACCACACAGAGGATGGCACAACATGCCAATGGCCCCGCCCAGCTCCCAGGCAGCTCCCTTACTGGCCTGAGTCCTGCAGGTTGGTGACATTAGCACACTGGCCACAGAGGGTGCTTTGGAAACAGAAGAGAAGTTTGGGGCCCAAGGAATACCTCATAAACACAAAATCTGTGTGGTGAGAAAGGGTCTCTGAGTTTCTTGAAACTCTAGAAAATATTTCAGATTTGTTTCCTGCCAATTCTGTGCCCATTCTCTATTTTATTTAAAGCTTTGGTATAAGTCTCTCTTTGTCTCACCTGTTACACACACACACACACGAGTTATTGGTAATACTGGAAATATTTACCTCTATCTGTGTATCTGACTCCTGTCTACTTATCTGTTTATCTCTATTTTTAAACAGAAAAAAGAAATCACAAGATTTGTTACATGCCCTAAACCATGGGAGTTCTTTTTTTTTTTGGTTGTTGTAGTTGGGAGGATTGGTGCTGGGGATTGAACCCTTGGGCCTCTACACATGCTCAGTACATGCTGTGCTACTGAGCTACACCCACAGCCAACCCTCCCCCGCCTCACCACATGGATTGAACCCAGGGGTGATCTACTGCTTCATCCCTATCCCTTTTCATTTTTTATTTTGAGACAGGGTCTCACTAAGTTGCTGGGGCTAGCCTCAAACTTATGATCCTCCTGCCTTAGCCTCGAAGTCACTAAGATTTCAAGCTTTTGCTACCTCCCCCGATTAGCTTCTACCTCTCTTTAATGAATCCTAGTTTTGGCTCTTTGACAACCCCATTGACATTTCATTATATATTCTTTTCACTTTCAGATTTAATTTTGCTTTTTATTCTATAACATAGTTCCTTCTTAGACCGATCACATATCAACATTTACCAACAGGGGCTGGGGTTGCAGCTCAGTGATGCAGCACCTGTTCGACTTTCCCGAGGCCCTGGATTTGAACCTGAACATTACACAAAATAAAATAAGTGCAAAGTTGGTGAAAAGCAAAGCTTGGGTCCTAGCCAGATGCTATGTTCATCACTTACTATGACTTTAGTTCTATCAAGAGCTTTGAGTAGAATATACCCTTCAAAATCAACCATATTTCATCTTTTGAGTAAAGACAAATCCATATTTGACTACTGCCTCTCTCTTCCAAATTGCCAAAAACTCCACGACACGTTTTCTTTGGACACATGAAGTTGAATTGAACATTGAGCCATCTCATTGTAGCTAAGTTTGTATACCTTTTGCCTGATGGGATTCTGACTAATTACAATAGTTTTTATTTTACTTCTTAGAATTGATAATGTATCTCAAAGCTTTTGTAAAAACTGATAAAAACAGAGCTGCATATATGCAAGGCACTGTAAGGGTGAGAGCTTTTAGTAAAAATCATGAATATTTTCTTGGCATGTAAACTCTTGTCTTTCCTAGGGATATTTGGTCCCTTGGCTGTGTCTTATATGAGCTCTGCACACTCAAGCATCCAGTAAGTATGTTAATCATCAAATTTGTGTTGAACTATTGAAATGATGTAAATGAAATTAACTTCTGAGAGAAAAAGGTTAACATTTGGTTTCATTAGATTTTTTAAAAAATATATATTTTTTTTAGTTGTAGTAGTTGTAGTTGGACACAATACCTTTATTTTATTTTTATGTGGTGCTGAGGATCGAACCCAGTGCCCCACATGTGCTAGGTGAGAGCTCTACCGCTGAGCCACAACCCCAGTCCCTAGATTCTTAAAGATTATATGGATAGCTGGGCATAGTGGAATTTGCCTGTGGTCCTAGTTACTAAGAAGGCTGAGGCAGGAGGAACATTGGAGTCTAGGAGTTTGAGACTAGCCTGGGCAACATAGACCCAGTCTCAAAATGCCAGCAAGCAAACTTTTTTTTATATATAGTCCAAGTTGGAGGATAGTTATATACCCATTAAAAATAAGTTGTGTATGAATGTACCTACATATACACACACATATATACCCACCTATGTGTGCGTGTGTGTGTGTGTGTGTGTGTGTGTGTGTGTGTGTGTGTGTGTGTGTGAGTGAGTGTATACCAAAGGAAAAGGCTCATGGTCAGAGTCTATAGGAAACCAGGCCTGAGCTTCAAAGGGTCTTCTTCCAGTTGTCACCCAGGAGGTACCAAGTCCTCCAGCAACAAGTTACAGGGAGTGTGGAATATTATCTATAAGGGAAGCTCATTAGTGTGGGAGACCAACCTTGCGTGCGACTGAGTTAACTCCCCTGCTGGGCGATGTGGGTCAGGCACCCATGCTGCTAGACTGCCCCACTCTTCTAGGGTTCCAGTGACTGTGTCTCTGTGCCTAGGTGTGGCTTCCTACAGCCCCATAGGTGAAGCTATGCTCACCTGTTCCTTTGCAATATTACTCCATGCCCTGTTTAGGATAGAATGTTCCATGGAAGTGCCTTGTGTGTGTCCCCTTCTCTTACTGAGCCCTTGGGTGTGGCCTACCCAAATGTCAGTCAACCTGCT